CCCTCTGTTCCACTCCAGCACAACTCATCCACAGACTGGGTACCAAGAAACTGCATTTAAGATGCTAAAGAGTAGAGACCTGCTCTGACCAACACAGAAGAATCTAAACAGGCAGAGGTCTGACAAAAACTGAGTTTGATCCACAGTGAGATAAGCACACTAAATATTCACTCCAGGCAAAAATAGGTTTCCAACAATAAGCACTAATGCTGTACTCTATCTCAAATGTTTTGAAAATTAATAAGGATCTGACAAAACAAAGATGTAAAAAGGAATCAGTAACACTTAGATGCCTCAAGAGAAAAATTTTGTATTTCAGAAATTTTGAAATTTTAGACACCCATTATTTTCAATAAACAATTAAAGTAAAAGCATTTTAAAAGCTTTAATCTCCCTGATCCCTAACAAACTATTTTATATGCTAGTGCCACATTATGTTACTTTCCAGTATGTGGCTACTTAAAAGCCAAAATTTAGTTAGTAGTTTATTCCAGATGTTTACCATTTACAACACTTTGTCCTCTAAGTTTTCTGTGGCAAATTTCTTTTCAGCTGTACTGATGCTGCACAATACAGTGCCACACTAGATATCTAACTACCACTACAATGCCACGCAGGGACATTAACCAGGGTACCTGACAAGGACGATCACTGTGCAGGCAGGACCACACTGACCCAGCTGCAGAGCTAGCGTTGTCAGAAAGAGTCTGGATTCCCCTACAAGCCACTACCTTGCATAACAGAGAAACCTTCTTAAAGCTCAGTTAGGACAGAATTTTCTTTTTAAAAAAAACCAAAACAAAACCACACTATCATCATTAAAAACACGTTTCCTCCTACTAATATCAATGCAACATCAAAACTCTCAGATTATGCTCTCAAAAAACCCAATACAGAGTTCATATTTCCTCATAAAAATTCTTATTAACTAAGTCAGACTTGTGATTCTATACATACTAGCAAATAAAACTTTTATACTTCAATTCTCTAGCATCGTGTTTATCAAAACTTTAAGTAGGGAATTCAGGTTCCCTTCCATTTGAACTACAGAATCAAAAATCTTGCGTTAATCTTTATTCAATTTATCATTAAAATCTTGTATTAATTTTATCATAATCTTGTAGTTATAGAAAAATTAACATCTCATCTTAAAAACCCTCTGTCATTCCAGGACACTTAGATCTATGTAACGAGGCAAAGACTGCTGTGGTACATTGTGTCACATTACCTTAGAAACATTTCGAAGTGTTTTACTAAAGCCTTTAGGTTTTTGTCAGGAAAGCACATCTTCCCCAGTATTTCCGGTAGCTTTACTGTAAAAAAGAGGAATAGTGTTTACACCTGTCCTTTTAAAAGGAACTTCTAATTACTTTTACCCACTATGCAGAAGAATATAAAAATTTCTTCTTCCTGCAGCCTCCACTTTTCCTTGCACGTTACTCCGTGATCTTTCTAAGCCTTACTAAAAAGAAACATGCTGAGAAAGTGAATGCTGCCTGGTTTAATGATGTTTAATAGTGCGTTATAGGTAATGTTTGTTCACTTTTGTTAAACAAAGGTTTACAGAGACAGTATGAGATAACCAAGCTTATGAACAGCCTAAGAGTTTCAAACAGATTAAAATGTACACTTCCCCAAAAATAAAACTAAATGTGATAAAGCAGATGGAAAATCACATGGATACAGTCACTTAAAAAACTAAACAAAACCTCCAAAAATACAGCAATCGTTTCAGCACAGAGTTTTGCATCAGTTTACCAAACATCCGTAGCAAATGTTGAGATCCATAGATATAGGAGGGAGGTGGTGGTTGATCACTTGGTGGATAATTCTCTGGCATCAATTTCCAGGACAAAACCTAAACATAAGACATGAAAGTGTTGGTTATGAAATGTTTATAGCACCATACAAAATCTAGTCTGTAGAGAACTTCAAAAATCAAATATAAGTAACACACACAGAACCTTTTCTTACATAGCCCTACTCCGAGGTCAACGAAACCTTTAATCCCTTTAAATCACTGAGTCTGGGACAGTAACGTAAAAATCCGTTACCTCATTCAATTCATTGTTTCTTCTACCTTCAAAGCCAGTAAAAACTGCACTCCCCTCTTTGCTAGGAGTCAATGTTATAGGTGAAGATGATCCACTATGGACAGGGGTTTCTTCAAAAGGGAAGGAAAAACAAAACCAGACATCAGCAATAACATCTATTAGCTGTTTTATAGAACTATAAGCCATTAAACGTAACTAAGACCTGCAGAAAAGCATCTCCTTGAATTCTGCTGAGAAATACAGTATCAAATTACTGAGAATATTGCTTTGCATTTATTTCTCCCTTTGGTAGAAGCTTCAGAGATAAATAATTGATACAAAAAGTAATGAATTCCTACTTCAATCATTCAGTCACAGTCCAGATTACATTTAAAAAAAGAACAAGACTTAAAATCTTGTTTAAAGCAGTAATTTAAAGAGTAAAGCCTACTTTTTTCCAGGTGCAAGAAGAGCTTTGGCATAGAAGCTGGGGTCTCAAGATGCCGTCGTTTAGGCTGCGGGGAAGCACTGCTTTCTGATAACCTGTCACAGTTAGAGCTGTGGCGTGTAGAACGTCTCAGCGACTGCAGTATTTCAGGTTCAGCTTTCCGTCTTTTTGGCGTGGCTGGCTCCCCTGTTGTAGGCTGGCTGTCGGTTGACTGAGGCGTTGGGGGGTTTAACAGAGGAGGACTTGGGGAAAGCTCCTCCTGATTTCTAGGAAATACAGACAGCTTTACAGAAGTGAAGAGATCGGGACTCTTCCACCAGAAGAGATCCTTCTAGTTTCACAGATCTTGTTAAATACTTATTCAGATTAGACAGTCTCCTCCCGACAACCGTCAATATGATCAGGCCTTCTTTTAAATACTATTTTCTGGAAACAATTATTTTCCAATTTTAAATTTAATGAACATAAGTTTGCATTTTAGTATAAATGTTTTTCTCCACAAAGTTGCAGCATACCTCGACACAAGTGAGTACAAGCCCCTTTTGACGTTAACCAGATAGAAATTTAGAACCTGAATTCAGGCAAGCAATTCACAGAAAAATTCAACATTCTATCAAGACAATTTTTAAGTCAAAGTTTCTGAGAAATCATCCTATTCTGAACACATAACCACAATCTATTGCATTTTCCTGAGGAGATGAGCAGTATTAGACTCCGTATACCCAACCTACCTGTTAGTATTGGTTGAGTTTTCTTTGATGGGAAGAAAGAATTTTGATGAAGTCACCTTCTTAAATTGAGCTTGTTCATAAGGATAGAGCAAAATTAATGGAAGTGTGAAGTCAAAAGTTATTCTCAGCCCATCCACCATTTCTTTACATAGCTCAACACTAGAGGGGAAAAAAAAATTATGAATTTCAAAGTTGCATGTCAAAATTTTCAGTGTATCTGTAGGAAATTCTCTTTTAATACAGATCATTAATCTCAACTATGATATGCTAACTTCATCACTAAGTAATGATGAGTGGTTAAAAGCATACTTAAAGAGATGGTGATTGCTGTTGGTAACTTGAGGCAAATACAAATGTTAAAAGTCTGCTTAGTAAGGTCAAACAAAATCTTACAATTGTTTTGTTGTATTACTATTTACTGGATTAACAAAATCTACTTTGCAGTAAAGTTACCTGGTTTTTCATGTAAGTGTGCAAGCACTGTACAGATTGAACCTCTATCTAAAAGGCATATGAAGAGTTTGATTCATAGCTGCTAAGGTGCAGTTAAGGCTGTGGTTAAGAAATCCAATGAACCAACACCACCAGGCACATGGAGATCAGGCATGGGAGATGAGTTTCCAATGGCCTGCTCCTGGTAACCAATTAGAGGTTACTAGGATTTTCAGTTTTGGGCTTCTGTAAAAGACTCATGGTGCTAGGCAGTGAGTACGTGTACTGCTATAAGCAGAACCAAGATCACTGAGTCCAGCCCATCTTCAACACCTCTCACCTCTGTGAAGGTATTCATCTCTCATGTCTAAGTGTATATACGTGTATGGTAAAAGTAATTTGATTCTGCCACAATGACCCACGTCAGAAATTCCATACCTGCTATTACTACTGTTCCATACCCACCTGTAAAACTACTGCATTTTTTTTGTAAACATTATATATACATTGGGTGAAGGGACCATCATGTGTAGAAATTCTATCACATCCCAGAAGGTCAGTTACCTTCCATGTTAGAGCAGTAAGGGCAATATAATGAAGCTGTCACCTGATTCTCTTCTATTTAATGGATCACTGAAATTAGGCACATTTTCCTTATTACAGCACCTTCTTTACTGAGGAAGTCACTTAAACATACACCTTTTAAAATCATAATGTGCATACAACCTTCTGTTCATAGTTCTGATATCTCGTCTAACTTCTTGTTTGGCAGATTATATTACAAAGAAAGGAAGTATCATTAATCTGTCAAATAATTACATCAGTATAAACCAAGACATTCACACAGACCAAAATACTGCAAGGAATAGAATAATTATGCACCACTGAAGTAGAACATGGTAACAAAAGTCAGGATATATTTCATAAAATGCAAGATTTCAACCCAGTCAGAGTCACACTAAACCCAGTGTAGGTTTAGATACAGAAGCAGTCTCATCTAATACTAAGAATCTTTAACACATGAGGAAAAAAAAACAAAACCCAAGCAACCGCAACCAAAAAAACCCTACACCGCAAACACGCAAGGTGGAGGACTTGGGGGTACTGGTGGATGAAAAGAGGGACATGAGCCGGCAGTGTGCGCTGGCAGCCCAGAAAGCCAACCGTATCCTGGGCTGTATCCAGAGAAGTGTGGCCAGCAGGTCGAGGGAGGGGATTCTCCCCCTCTACTCTGGTGAGACCCCACCTGGAGTACTGTATCCAGCTGTGGAGCCCTCAACATCAGAAGGATATCAACCAGCTGGAGTGAGTCCAGAGGAGGCCACAAAGATGCTCAGAGGGCTGGAGCACCTCTGCTATGGGGACAGGCTGAGAGAGTTGGGCTTGTTCAGCCTGGAGAAGAGAAGGCTCCAGGGAGACCTTATAGCCCCTTCCAGTACCTGAAGGGGCTACAAGGAAGCTGGGAGGGGACTTTTTACAAGGGCCTGTAGTGACAGGACAAGGGGTAATGGGGTTAAATTGAAAACGGGGAGGGTTAGATTGGATATCAGGAAAAAATTTTTCACGGAGAGGGTAGTGAGGCACTGGAACAGGTTGCCTAGAGAAGCTCTGGATGCGCCATCCCTGGATGTCTTCAAGGCCAGGCTGGATGAGGCTTGGAGCAACCTGGTCTAGTGGAAGGTGTCCCTGCCCATGGCAGGGGGGTTGGAACTGGATGGTCTTTAAGGTCCCTTCCAGCCCAAACCATTCTGTGATTCTGTGATTTGTAGCATGGTAGCATTTGTTGCATGACAAAGCAGCAACTAAGATGCAATCAATTTTAATAAAGAGAATGGGTGTTACTACACACATTC